CCCCCCCCAAAAAAAAAAACAGCTATGCTGATCTGATGGGTCCGGAATTCTAGGATATTCGGAAGCATGTTCTAGAAGAGAAATCTCAAACTGATTCAGTGATTCCCTCATAGCCTGCCACCTCTTGATGATACTATTGTTTTTTTGTCGGTCATGGGGCTTGAACTCTGGGCCTGGGCACTGTCCCTGTGCTCTTCAGCTCAGGGCGAGTGCTCTACCCCTTGAGCCACAGCTCCACTTCCGGTTTTCTGGTGGTTTATTGGAGATGAGTCTCATGGACTTTCCTGCCTGGGCTGGCTTTGAACTGCGATTCTCAGATCTCAGCCTCCTGCATAGCTAGGATTACAGACGTGAGCCACCAGTGCCCGGAAGCATTATTGTTAAATTGGATGCTTTAGATAGTCTTTGAATAAAAAGTCCTGGGGGCTGGGAAGGTGGCTCAGTGGTAGAGCGCTTGCCTTGCATGCCTGAGGCCCTGGGTTCAATTCCTCAGCACCACATAAGCAAAAAGAAAAAAGCCGGAAGTGGCGCTGTGGCTCAAGTGGTAGAGTGCTAGCCTTGAGCTGAAGAGCTAAGGGACAGCGCCCAAGCCCAGAGTTCAGGCCCCACAACAGACAAAAAAAAAAAGTCCTGGTAACCTGGTATTTCTTTGGGAGTCTTGCCCTATCCTTAATTTTCATTGAGGTCTGTCCCAGAGGTGGTACCAGACACTTATGGAAACCAGCTGAAGAGACTCTATACTCTCAGGATTCTCCTTGTAAAAAAGGAAGCAATGAAGCCGACCTCTGCATACACAAAAATACCGCATGTCCTTGTAGCAACTAACAATGTACTATTACCCAGAGGCAGCAATAAGAGGGCGCAATTCAAAGACCCTTAGCTGAGACTTTAGTGTATTTCCTACTGGCAGTCACACATGCCATGCTTTGGGTGATGGGGTCATGCATACAAAGGGTTTTCCACCAGAGTTCTGCAAGCAGCAACAGCATGCTAAGTCCCAATCCCTGCCGGTTGTACCCACTCTGTTACACACACACACCCAGCGGGGTGTGGGCACTTACTGCTGAGCGCAGGCGGCAGGGGCGGCTGGACGGGGTAGGCTGTCTGTGCAAAGGGCTTGATGCTGTGGGCAGAAACACAGATGGTCAGCGCCTCGTCCAGCGCTCAGGAAGAAGGCCCCGGCCTCTGGGGAATCCAGAGCCACGCCTGGCAAGCCAGCCCGCAGCCTGGGCTTCCTTTCCATGTCACCATGTCCCGCACCGCACACCGGCCAAGCGCACTCAGAGTTACAGCTCGCCCTCGCCCGGCCCTGCAAGGCTGTCCATTAACCCGCACATGCGGTGGATGGGGAACACTGGGCTGCGGCTCGGTGTGGCACTGAGGGCACAAGAAACGCTGGAACGGGGCACACCAGATTGGGTGGAAGGGGTCTCTAGGTTTGGGATGGCTCAGCCGCTGCTGGAGCAGATGGGGGGGTGCGATACTCACTCCTGAGAGGGCCCGGGCTGCTGTCCCAGGAGAGGGGGGGCGCTCCAGAACTGCAGACGGGATAAAGAGGGCCTCAGTACCCAGGAACCCCACATCACCCCGCGCCAGCCCCCTGCGGCTCTGTACCCTTGAGGAAGAGGAGAAGACAGCCTGGGGCAGAGGGGAGGGCGGGCTGAACTTGTTCTGTAGGACGCTGGCCGAGACGATCTGTGCGGATGACATGGACGCCATGCTCTGCAGGGCTTTGTCCTTGGAGACCTGATCCTGCGGATGGAGGGGACAGGTGAGCTCCGGGAGTCCGGCCTGAACTCCAGCCCCAGCTCTGCGGTGTGGTCTCAGACCCTAACTTCTCTAGGGGTCCTAGTGTACATCAGCTCTCCGAGCGTAACCCGCAAGAGGAAATAATACTGTATTCTGGAGCCCAGTATGGGGTCTCCTGTTTCAGGGCCCCCTCAGGTTATAGAAAGTGGCATCGAATGTGCATCTAACCTGCACAGTCCTCCCTTATGCTTTCAATCATCAGTGATCTAGGTGACGTTAGACTACCGCTGCAATAAACGCTGTGTAAACAGTGCACAGTGTTTCGTTATTCGTGTGTGTGTTTGCCAATACCAGAGTTTGGCTGCATGCTTGCTCAGCTGGCACTCTACCACTTGAGCTAAGTCTCCAGTACAACTTTTTGGTGATTAACAGACATGCACCATTATGCCTGGTATAAATAGTTTTCATGCTGTATTGTCCAGACAATGATGACAGAAAAACAGGTTTATATTTGTCTGGCACATTATTTGTACATATTTATTATCTGAAGTTGGTTGAATCCTCAGATTCAGAACCAGAATAGAGAGAGCCTGTTTTACTGATTCGTAGTACTAGAACTCGAGACTGAAGCTGGATTCAGTCTTTGTACATGTTCAGTTCTTTGTGCATGTTAAGCAAGTGTTATACCATATGAGCCATGCCTGGGGCCCTCAACTCTGTGTCAAAGTGGTCCCCCTATCTTGAATCAATATTTTTTTTGATCGGTTGTGGGGCTTGAACTCTGGGCCTGGGCGCTGTCCCTCAACTCTTCAGTCCAAGGCTAACTCTACCACATGAGCCACAGCACCACTTCCGGCTTTCTGAGCAGTTTATTGGAGATAAGAGTCTCACGGGCCAGGTACCAGTGGCTCATGCCTGTAATCCTAGCTACTCAGGAGGCTGAAATCTGAGGATGGTGGTTCAAAGCCAGCCCGGACAGGAAAAGTCCAGGAGACTCTTATCTCCAATAAACCACTAGAAAACTGGAAGTGGTGCTGTGGCTCAAGGGGTAGAGCATTTGCCTTGAGCTGAAGAACGCAGGGACAGCGCCCAGGCCCTGGGTTCAAGGCCCACAACTGACAAAAAAAAAAAAAAAAGAGTGTCATGGGCTTTCCTGTCCAGGCTAGCTTTGAACCGAGATCCTCATATCTCAGCTTCCTGAGTAGCTAGGATTACAGGCGTGAGCCACTGGTGCCTGGCTAGAGTCAATACTTTCTATTCCTTCTTCCTCAGTGGCTTAGGAGTCTGTGTGGGGTCAGCCTCCCTTGGGGGCGTGTGCATAGTGAGGAGCTAGGGCCCAGCACAGACACTGAATCAGGCCTCGTCCAGAGCCTTTGGGCAAGCTTCCAGAAGATTCTGGTGTCATTCATGTGGCAGAGCCCCCGAGTGCCACGCACGGATGCTGCTCTCACCTCCCATTACCTGGAGCCCAGGAGCTTTGGTGCACGGGATGCGCAAGTGCAGGCAGCCCCCCCTGCCCCGCCCTGCCCATGGCGCCCGCAGCCCCTCCCCGGGTCAGGAAGCAGAGGTCAGTACTCACCAGGTTCATGGCCTGTAAGGAGAAAGGGAGGACAAATTAGATGACAGGACACAGATCAGATGAGGGCTCAAGACGGAGGGGACATGTCCATTCCCCTCCCGTCAGTAGGCTAGGAAGCTCAGAGGCCGAGCAGCGCCCGGGCAGCGCCTGACAGGAGGGCTGGGGGGGGGGCGAGCAGGAAGGAGCAGCCGATCCTTGCGTCTGCTGTCCGCTGCAACTGCACTGAGCTGTGCAGGGCACGCGGCTGGGGCAAAGCCCAGCACCAGCGAGGGAGCCGGTGAGGACTCAGCTCCCGAAGCCCAGACTTTTCACAGCACCCACACCCACAATCCCGCCAGCCAGGGCCCACCAGGGCCTCTTCCCTGCCCACCTGAAGACCCCATGCAAGTGCAAGCGGCAATCAGAGGAAGGAGGAAGAGGAAGCGGAGAGGAGAGGTGGGCCCGGCAGCCCCAGATGGTCTGCCTCTCGCCTGTGACAGGGCTGGCCGGGCCCTTGGCTCCTGCCCTGTGCCCGGGGGCCCGGCCTGGAGGCTTCCACTGCCACTGGCATTGGCCAGACCCCCTCGCAGCTGTGGGCTGTGACAGGGCCCATACCTTCAGCTTGGACTGAATCTCCCGAGATTTCCGTCTGGCTAGAACCTGCAAGTGGCTAGACACCTGTAGAGAGAGAGAGGAAGAGAAAAAGGACAGAGGGAAGAGAGACAGGCAAGACCAGAGCTTCAGCCAGAGAAGAGGTGCAGGGGCGGAGGGCCAGCGAGGCAGAGGCCGGCGTGTGCAGAGAGCAGAGAAGGTGCCTCAGAAAGGCTGGGCGTGAGCAAGGCCTGGCCAGGCGCCTAACGTACCTTGATGCCAACCTGGTACTCCCGCACCTTCTTCCGAGCTAGAACCTGTATGTGGCTGGACACCTAGGGGCCGCCCCGCGCCCCGCCACGGAGGAAAACAGACAGTGAGGAGACACAGCCACAGGGCCACGGGCAAAGAGCGCCCCAGCCTTCACCGCTGGGAGCCAAGTGTAACTGGGGGAGCCTCGGAGCCCCTGTGGACAGATCACTCTCGGTTTTTGTCAGTTGTGGGTCTTGAACTCTGGCCCTGGACACTGTCTCTGAGCTCTTCAGCTCAAGGTGAACGTTCTATCACTTGAGCCACAGCGCCACTTTCGGTTTTCTGGTGGTTTATTGGAGATAAGAGTCTCCCGGTCTTCTGTGCCTAGGCTGGCTTTGGACCGCCATCCTCAGATCTCAGCCTCCTGAGTAGCTAGCATTACAGCTGTGAGC